CAATCCACTCACCTCAGCCTCCCAAAGGCGCGGGTTTACAAGCTGAGCCACCGAGCCCGGATGAAAAAAAGAGTTATTAATTGTGCAGGTTGCCAGGTGCAGTGGCTCATGCCTGCAATCCCAGCACTTTGGGAGGAGGAGGAGAGAAGATTGCCTGAGTCCAGCCTGGGCAACTTGGCGAGATCTCATCTCTACAATAAATCAAACAAAATTAGCTGGGTGTGGTGACATGTACCTGTAGTTCCAGCTATTTGGAAGACTGAGATGGAAGGATCGCCTGAACCCAGTAGGTCAAGGCTGTGGTGGCCGTGAGCTTGCCACTGCACTCCAGTCTGGGCGATAGAGTGAGACTCCAACTCAAAAAAAAAAAAAAAAATGTGCAAGTTTCTGGAGATAAAAGCTGAGAAACTGACTGCTATTCTCTAAACAAAGACTTACCAAGAAGCGACGGCAAGCAAAAGGGGCTGAATATTCACGAGGCTTCATTTTAGCTTTTACATTTGACAATGTAAGAAAATTGCTAAGAAAATGAATTTAATAATTTTTAAAATGGCATTACTAAATTTAATTCTATAGCTGACACATCTTACTGACTTTTTTTTTTTTTTTTTTTAAGAGATGGAGTCCCAGCCTGGGCAACATAGCAAGACCTCATCTCTACAACAAATTAAAAAAAAAAAAACTAGCCAAGCATGGTGGCATTTGCTTGTAGTCCCAACTACTTGGGAGGCCAAGGCAGAAGGATCACGAGACTTCAACTCAAAAAAAAAAAAAAGAGAGAGAGAGAAAAATGGGGTCTTGCTATGTAGCCTAGACTGGCCTCAAACAGTCCTTGAGCCTCAGCCTCTTAAGTAGCCAGAACCATAGGTGCATACCACCACTACTGACTTCTTTTTCTACAAATACTATCAACTCACCTTGAGGTTAAAGTTATCAATAATACATACCAATCAGATCACCTTGGTCATGGATCATCATAGCCAGATCTTTAAATATCTGATTGACATCCAAAATGTCAGCCTAAGGAAGACAAAAAACAACTAACATTAAGCAACATATTAGAAAATTCATCTTCTTGACTTACCTAAAGTTTTAGCTATTAATATAGCACATGTGTTTCTAAGGTTCTATAAAGCATGCTTTCTCATAAACAGAAATGGTCTATCACTGCCTACCCAATACTATAAGACAGAAGGCCTGTAAATCGACCCTTCAAGCACTATTAAGTGAACATGTTACATGGGAACCAGTAAGATCATCCAAGCCCAAACAGTATAAAGTAGAAGGCTGGAGTGCTGATATGAACAAATTCTTGGTTTAAGAGCCCCATGTGGAGCCTACTGGGCCTTATGGCAAAAGCCTATGAGCAAATTCCAACAACTACTACTGGGACTTTGGATTTTTAAATGGTTTATACGAGACCACACTGCCTGAGGAATGCAAGGAGGAGATGCAAGGAAGGAGCCTCTTTTCCCCTAAGACTGACTCTAGAGCTGTGTGGAGCTACTGGATTCTATCGCCACTTGGACAGTGCGCTATAAACAACTCTCAGCTGACTGACAAGGAGCTGCTTGGCTTGCGGTTAGCAGTTCCAAGGTGAATGGACAACATCCTGTTTGGAAACCTGCTGCTCTGATCGAAGAAGGTAAAAGCACATCAGCTTGGTGGCTTGGTGTGCTGAATTGCATCCCGTTCTCTTGGCAATGATAGAAGAATTGAACAGTGGTTTAAAAAAAACCAAAAAACCCTATATTTGAATTTTTCAGATTCAAGGGCAGTGGCTAATGTGGAGCTAAGGCAGAAAATATAATGGATGTCAGCAAAGTAAAAGATCACTCCATAGTCAACAGGATGAAGTTCAAATTCCTTAGCCTGGGCTCAATTTTCATATCTAGTCATTTCTTACCTCTTGACATACAAACCCTACGTTATGGCCCTAGCTCCATATGTCTTATTTCACTCTACTCTCTGCTATAACAGTACGTTCATTCCTTGGTATCTGCTGAGAATCGGTTCCAGGACCCCTCACCTCAAGTCCCTGATATAAAATGGCATAGTGTTTGCAAATAAACCTATGTACATCCTCCCACATACTTTAAATCATCTTTACATTACTTATAATGCCTAATGCAATGTAAATGCTATATAAATAGTTTTTATTTTTTATTTTTTTATTTTTATTTTTTGAGTTGGAGTCTCACTCTGTTGCCCAGACTGGAGTGCAGTGGCCACTTTCGGCCACCACAGCCTTGACCTGCTGGGCTCCGGCAATCCTTCCGCCTCAGCCTCGCAAGTAGCCGGAATTACAGGCACGTACTACCATGCCCAGCTAATTTTTTGATTTATTGTAGAGATGAGGTCTCGCCAAGTTGCCCAGGTGGGTCTCAAACCCGCAGGCTCAAGCAATCCACTCACCTCAGCCTCTCAAAGGCGCGGGATTACAGGCTGAGCCACTGAGTCCAGCTATAAATAGTTTTTATACTGCTTTTTACATTTATATTATCTATTGTTGTATTGCTTTTTCTGAATATTTCAATCCAATGTTTGCTGAATCTGAGTATGTGAAACCTGCAGCTATGGACTGTATTTCTAATATTAGAGAGTCAAGTCAATGTCAGTAGCAGTAGGTGAAAAGGAAGAAAGATATAACACCTTTGAAGGCAATAAAGTAATCATAACTTGAGAATAAACTGTCCTATCTAAAAACAGACACTGATGGGCTCTATGGTCGTGGGACTCAATCCTGGCTGAACATTATAATCACCCGGGGAGTTTTTAAAAAGATGCCCATGCTCCTGGCCTCACCCCCAGAAATTATGACTTATTAGGTTGAACCATATAAAATTATAGCTATTTGCCCATGTTTAACCTACCACAAACAGGAATTTCACATCATCCAGTCTATTACTTGGCAGTGGATGAGGAGAGCTGGCGTATTTTAAAAATCTTCCCCAGCTGCAATGGTAGCAAGCAGTCCATAGAACTCAACACATGTTTTAAAAAAAAAAATTTTCCCCAGGTGTTTAGGCTGGGTGCAGTGGCTCAAGTCTGTAATCCCAGAACTTTGAGAGACCGGGGCAAGAGGACTGCCTGAGCCCATGGGTTCACAACCAGCCTGGGCGACATGGTGAGACCTCGTCTCTACAATAAAAAAATCGAAAAATTAGCCGGGCATGGCAGCATGTGCCTGTAGTTCCGGTTACTTAGAAGGCTGAGACCGGGCTCGGTGGCTCAGCCTGTAATCCCAGCACTTTGGGAGGCCGAGGTGAGTGGATTGCCTGAGCCCACGGGTTGGAGACCTGCCTGGGCAACTTGGTGAGACCTCATCTCTACAATAAATCAAAACTTAGCTGGGTGTGGTACCATGCGCCTGTAGTTCCAGCTACTTGGAAGGCTGAGGCGGAAGGATTGCTGGAGCCCGGCAGGTCGAGGCTGCAGTGGCCAACAGCGGCCACTGCACTCCAGTCTGGGCGACTGAGTGAGACTCCAACTCAAAAAAAAAGAAGGCTGAGGTGGAGGATCACCGAAGTCCAGCAGGTCAACAATGGGGTGGCATGCAACTGCACTCCAGCCTAAGCAACAGAGTAGGACTCCAACTGGAAAAAAAAATCTTCCCCGGGTGGTTCTAATGCACATCAGGCTTCAGAACCACTACTATAGATGAAGTTCAAGAAGGAGCTCAAAGTTTTTCTCCTGCCTTCTCTCCTTTCCCCCATTCCAAGGATGGCAGTCTTCTACTTCCATGGAGAAAACTTCACAGGTTTAAGGATATTTTACCAGTCACTATGCAAAGCTAAAGATAGAAGCTCAGGAAAGAAAGGCCTACAGACCTCTTCCTCAAACCCCTCCTCAAAAACGATTCCTATTTCTCTGACCCACTGAAGGGATAACATCTACAATTTTAGGATTGGACTTTAAATTCATAAAAATGGAGCAAGACTTGGCTTGCCTTTATACTGGGCTATTCATATTAAGCAAAGGGGCTCTCCGTAGAATACTACCTAAACCAGAGCCAGATTGGCACTGAGATATGGGGACAAAGGTCTAATGAGCAATAAAATATCTATTTGACTTATTCTGTTCTCCATGCATATTTCTTAAGAAGACCATATAAGATGTGGTAATTGAGAAAAGGATTTGGGTACTCATGGGCACCAAGGCCAATACCATCATAACAGTAGTTAAAATTCATCATGATTACATTGAGACAGACAATATGCAAATCACACAATGACTCATTTTATGCTTTTTCTTAACCATTGAGAAAATTAAGGTGAACTAATGAGTCCAGATACCTGCACACATTGAGTCAAACAAAAAACATGATCTGATTCTCACCTCCAGTTGCCGAATTGCCGTTTCCCTTTCTTTAATAAGCTCCAGATCCTGCTCGGTGATAGCCACTTCATCCTCTTGGCTCTGCATCTGGTTCCAGTCCTCATGGCTGCCAAGAGGCAAGCATACCAGTTGATTCCTCCTCTCTAAGCCATGACAAGCCATATCTACAACACCTCTATTGCTAGCAGAGCCTAGGCAACACTGGATACTACCAGAGTTCCAACTCCTCTGGTATCAATACTAAGTCCCCAAGGGCCATGTTCTTCACATCTACAGGCAAAGAGCAGATAATACGAAGAAATAAAGACTTGGCTTCCATGAGCAAAGCTGAAATGAAGCAGAATAAGGGATGGGACTCCTAGCTATTTCCATTTAGAAATACACTCTGCAGTCTTGCTAGGACATGCCACACACACACAAAAGTGGCCAAGACTTGAATTCAATGAATGATATTGATCCATCCTCTTCCAGGGCACTCTCAAGCTGTGTTGTCAGTACCTTGAGTACTAAACAGGAGAAGGAGAGCAGGCTAAGTGATCTATCGGTGCTTCACCAATTAATTCAACAGAATCACATCTCCTGGTTTTCAGAAATTTCCTTAAGGTTATGCTTTGGTGCTGGGTGTGTGGTGGCTTACATTTAAAATCCCAGCACTTTGGGAGGTGGAGGCAAGAGGATTACCTGAGCCTAGGGATTCTAGACTAGCCTGGGCAACTTGGCAAGATCTTGTCTCTACAATAAATAAACAAACAAAAAAAATTAGCTGGGCATGGTGGCACATGCCTGTAGTTCCAGCTACTTGGATGGCTGAGGCAGAAGGATCGCCTGAGTCCAGTAGACCAAGGCTACGGTGGCCATGAGCATGCCACTGCACTCCAGCCTGGGTGACAGAGTGAGACTCCAACTCAAAAAAGAAAAAAGAAAAAAGAAAAGGTTATGCTTTGGGTTAAATACCTCCTAACAGAATGCTAGTGAAATGTCAGAACTCGCATTTTTCCAACAATATGTATAAATCATACTTTATCTCTACAATATTTAAAGAATATTCTCCATGTGCTAGATATAGAAAACTGAGTAAGACCAAGTCCCCAGGCTTTCAAGGTGCACACAGTACAGTGGCAAGAGATGAATACATATCTATGGTAAAACATATTAAATGCCCTGGAAGAGGATGGTCAGTTTAATACCACAAACACATTTCTATGGGATTTGTTTGGAGAAACAAATCAAAGGGGACATCATTCAGAGACAACCTGATGGCTTCTCCTCTTAATACTCATAGAAGGATGAATTGCCCCATTTTAGAGGTGAGTAAACAGACCCAAGAACTCTGTAGGACTTAAATCTGAATTAAGGAAGATACTTTAGACCTCCTAATCTGAGATGCGTATGTGAGTCAAGTTCTCTCCCCAACACTTAGTCATCGAGGGTTTCTCGGAATTTTTTTATTCACCTTGAAATTATTCTTTCCATAGCTCAAAGATCTTGCAAAAGCCCATGGTTTTGATGTTTTAGTTTTATTTTGTAGGTTATAAATTACTCTTGTCTTCCTCTTTTTCTCACTGATTTTTAAAATTAAAAATAAGTATAAAGATACAGATTCCATCTCAACTCTCCAGCAGATTATATGAATAATTTTATTACCTGTCAAATGAGACCAACTGCTCTTCTCTTTGCCTCTCTTCCGCCTAGAAAATAGATGGCATTATTGCTGCTGTCATCCAGAAACAAGTCACAGACACACAAAACAAGGGTATCCTTAGCTATAGCATAAAGAAGCGATATCCCTTGGTACCAACAGAATCTATAAGATGATACAGGACTCTGGCAATCTGTCTCAACTAACAAATGGGTGTGAAGTGGTTGAAAGCAAGTCTGCATGCCAGTTTGAGTCCACAACAGAAACCACACTGAACAGGATGGGGAGAAGATGGGTAGGAGAGACAGATACAAATAACAATAATAATAACCTATTTTAAAATTTGCAGGTGGGCAGATTAAGGGAGGGGTTGAAAATTTGCAAAAATAAGTTCAGAACATGTAAAAAAAAATCTACCACTTCAAAAATCAGTTTAATACATAGATTGCTTTTGTAATTTGAAAACAAAGAAAAAATATTAAAGACCAATGTATTTTCATTTTTTAAAAGCTCAACATTTCTATGATAACAATACAGAACAAGCAAAATGAAAAAAAATTTCAAATATCTACCCACCAGAGGTACTCTATTTTTTTCTCCTGCAGACCTGACCTGACATGTAATTTTCCTTTTTCTTTTACTTTTTTTCCTAGATCAAGAAACAACACTGCCAGTGTCCCCAAAGCCCACCCATATGCCCTTCTCCAATCACAGCACATTCCCTCCCCACAAAGTATCTAATATCCTGACTTTGTGAAAATCATTTTCTTGCACTTTAAAAATAGCGATATGTTCATGACCCGCCTGGGCAACTTGGCAAGACTTCATCTCTACAATAAATCAAAAACTATCCGGGCATGGTAGCATGCGCCTGTAGTTCCAGCTACTTGGAAGGCTGAGGCGGAAGGATCGCCAGAGCCCAGTGGTTGAGGCTGCGGTGGCCGGGAGCGGCCACTGCACTCCAGTCTGGGCAACAGAGTGACTCAAAAAAATAAAAAAAAAATAAAAAATAAATAGCAATATGTTGGCCAAGCACAGTGCCTCACGCCTGTAATCCCAGCACTTTGGAAGACTGAGATGGGAGGATTGCTTGAGCCCAGGAGTTCGAGACCAATGTAGGCAACATAGTGAGACCCTGTCTCTACAAAAAAAAAAAAAAAATCAAAAAATTAGCCAGGCACGTTGGTGCATCCCTGTAGTCCCAGCTACTCAGAAGACTGAGGTGGAAGGATTGCCTGAGCCCAGGCAGTCCAGGCTGCAGTGAGCTGTGATTGTGCCATTGCACTCTAGCCTAGGCAACAGAGTGAGAGACTGACTCAAAAATAAAAAAAATAAAAATAGTGATATCCATCCGTATTCAATATTACTTTGCCAATTTTTTAACTTCACATAAATAGAATTATATTGTTTGTATTCTTTTGTGCTTTTTGGGGGGATCACTCCTGATATTGTCAGGTCCCTCTATGATGCTGAATGAAACAGTGGTCCAATCATTTTATTTGCTGTAGGAGATTATAGTATATGACTGTGTTTCAATTTATTTATCCATTCTACTGTTGACAGGCATCTGGCTGTTTCTAATTTTTGACCCCTACAAACAACGCTGTTATGAATATCCTCATACATACATCCTGGTGTAACATATATATATTTCTCTACCTTAGAACTACTTAGTCAAAAGGTATAGCCAAAATGCTTTCCAAAGTAGTAGTTCCAGTTTTTTTTTGGTTTTTTTTTGAGTTGGAGTCTCACTCTGTTGCCCTGGCTGGAGTGCGGTGGCACACTCACAGTCACTGCAGCCTTGACCTATGGGGCTCAAGTGATCCTTCTATCTCAGCCTTCTAAGTAGCTGGAATTGTAGGCACACGCCACCATGCCCAGCTACTTTTTAAAATTATTTATTTATTGTAGAGATGAGGTCTTGCCAAGTTGCCCAGGCTGGTCTCGACCCCATGGGCTCAGGCAATCCTCTCACCTCGGCCTCCCAAAGCGCTGGGATTATAGGTGTGAGCCACTGCACCCAGCCTGGTAGTTCCAGTTTAAATTACCACTGGCCAGACAGAAAAGTTCCTGTTGCATCATATCCAAAACAACAATCCCTAGTGTTTATAGAATTTTAAACTTTTGTTCTCCTTGTGAACGTTTAATTTTAATCTGCAATTTCCCAATTACTAAAGAAGTTGAATACCTTTTCATTTGTCTGACCATTATTCAAAATAATACTAATGTGTTTACTTGCTTTTTTCACTGTGTTGATATTTACACTGATGGAGCAAAAGCAATGGTAGATAAAATGGCTCAAGGTAGCTGTACCAAACTATACTAGTATTATTGTATTCTTCATGGCCAGGTACTCACAGTGAAAAGAAAAAAAGCCAATTTGTTCTTGAAGTCATACAAATTATTAATTAACCCTTGACTCTTCAATACACATCTTTCTAATATCTATATGATGAAATGGAAAGCATACGTATTTTTGCTGTATAAAGAAATACAATGAGGCCGGGCTTGGTGGCTCAGCCTGTAATCCCAGTACTTTGGGAGACCGAAGTGAATGGATTGCCTGAGCCTATAGGTTTGAGACCAGTCCAGCAACTTGGTGAGACCTTGCCTCTACAAAAAAAAAAAAAAAAAAAAGCCGGGCATGGTAGCGCTCACCTGTAGTTCCGGCTACTTGGCAGGCTGAGGTGGAAGGATCACCGGAGCCTAGCGGGTCAACGCTGGGGTAGCCGTGAGTATGCCCCTGTACTACAGCCTGAGTGACAGAATGAGACTCCACAAAAAAAAAGAAATACAATGAGCTGGGTGCAGTGGCTCACACCTAGAGTCCTAGCATTTTGGAAGACGAAGTAGAAGATTGCCTAAGCACAGCAGGTAGTGGCTGTGGTAGCCATGATCGTGCCACTACACTCTGGCCTGGGCGTCAGAGTGAAACTCCTACTAAAAAAAAAAATTTTTTTTTAATAAATAAATAAAATAATTATATGTAACAACATTTGGAAGACCTGCATAATTCAGGGAACCAATATTTTTCAAGTGATAAATACATGATGCTATAAAAATACATGCATGGATAAAATATCCAAAGTATAACATAGACCAATAGATGCTAATATAACAGAATATGAAAGAAGTCATTAGGCCAGGTGCCGTGGCTCATGCCTATAATTCCAGCACTTTGGGAGGCCGAGGTGAGAGGACTGTCTGAGCCCACAGGTTCAAGATCAGCCCAGGTAACTTGGTGAGACCACATCTCTACAATAAATCAAGAAATTAGCCAGGCGTGGTGGTGCATGCCTGTAGTTCCAGTTACTCGGAAGGCTGAGGCAGACTGATCACCTGAGCCCAGGTAAAGGCTGCAGTAGCCATGAGCGTGCCATTCTGACTGTGTGACTAATTAGCATGCCATTCTGACTCATTCACGTGAGCGTGAGATTCTGACTCAAAAAAAAAGAAGTTATTAATATAGTTTTAGACTCCACAATGCAGCCAATTTTTGTCAAGTTTTGATGTGGTATCGAGGAAGAGTATCAACAATGATCTGAAAAAGTGATTAAAATATTCCTTCCTTTTCCAATGCTAATTAGTCACATGAAAACACGTGAAAGTAGAAAACTCACTGGAAAAAGTAAATACATGATCAAATTCAGAATATCCAAATGCTATTACGGTGATGTATAAATCACTTTTATCTTTCGTACGGAGGTTAAAAAACAGAAGTAGCTATGAAAATCTAGCTGTCTTCTGTTAAGCCAGACATTCAAAAAATATTTGCAAAAAGAAAAATAATGCCACTCTTCCCACTATTTTATTGTATTGGAAAGTTCTTTTTAATTAAAATTTTAATTTATAGTCATATTAATTTGTAACAGATTATTTGCTAATGAGTTAATAAATAAACAGCTAAAATTCTTCTCAGTTTTAATTTTTAATATAAATATATACCAATAGGTATGATTCATATAAACAATATCTTGTTGGGTCCTTAATAATTTTTTTTTTGGAGTTGTAGTCTCACTCTGTCACCCAGACTGGAGTGCAGTGGTCGCTCCCGGGCACCACAGCCTTGACCTGCTGGGTTCTGGTGATGTCCTTCCGCCTCAGCCTTCCAAGTAGCTGGAACTAAAGGCGCGTGCTACCACGCCCAGCTCATTTTTTATTTATTGTAGAGATGAGGTCTCCCAAGTTGCCTGGGAGGGTCTCGAACCCACGGGCTCAGGCAATCCACTCACCTCAGCCTCCCAAAGGCGCGGGATTACAGGCTGAGCCA